GTGCACGCAAGCACCCATGGTCCATCTGTAGGCGCAGGCGTCCTGTGGCTGGCCACAGTGACAGGCAAATCCGAAATCGGATGTCGTCAACCATATATATATATATATATATATATATATATATATATATATAAACATTGATCTGTCTAATTTTTTGCAGGAGGCATATCTTCTGGAAGAAAGCGGTCCTACAAAAAAGCTTTCCTGCAATGGGGCTTCACCAATTTCGTCGATAAAAATGTTGAGAAACCGCAAAAGTGCTCACGACAGAGGGCATATAATCAAGCAAATTGAAAAACCACTCCGAACTAAGTCCTTCTCAGCTAGTAGGAAAAATCGTTACATTCTTCAAACGGAAAAAGGTTGCGCTAAAATGTTCGGGTCTGGATACATTGAGCGCCGTTATTTAGTCAACTGAAACTTGTCTTAAAGCTTCATACCGCATCGCTCATCGAATCGCCAAAAGTAAGAAACCACATCATATAGGAGAGAATCTCACTAAACCTTGTATCATGGATGCCGTGATGCTCATTCTTGGAGAGCAATATGCGGATAAGTAAAGTTGGATATCACTTATTAACAACACCATCAAAAGTCGTATCGACGACATGAGCAAGAATATTTTGAGCAGGGTGCTCAACGAAATAGTCAAGCGCTTTCTTTGCAATACAGTTAGATGAGCCTACCCACGTGGCATCTTGTTCCCAGCTACTCGTCTATGTTCGGTACATAAAAGGCGACGGCTTCAAAGAGGTGTACTTGTTCACATAATTATTGAGCACAACTGCATGTGACGAAGATGTCTTCCGAACAGAGAAGGATTTCGTAGAGGAAAAGGACCTACAGTGGTTGAAGTTGGTGGGTGTCTGTACAGACGGAGCACCGTCCATGTTGGGCGTCCGCTCTGGATTCCAAACATTAGTCAAAAAATTTCCTCCACACGCTACTTTTAGCCACTGTATCATGCATCGTTATGCTTTAGCAGTGAAAGCTCTTCCACCCACTTTGCTGGATACGTTAACCAACGTACTGAAAATGGTAAATGTCATCCGTGGTAGTGCGACCTATACAAAGAGTTGTGCAATGAATTTGGAGGCACATTCGAAGTGCTGTTATTGCACAAAGAAGTGCGTTGCTTATCAAGGTGCAGAGTGTTGCACCGAGTGCTCAAGCTTCGAAGAGAAACTGCAATGTTTCTTGAAAGGAAGGAGTTGCAGAAGAGTAAGGGGAACGGATTACACGTGATGATAAATGACAACGTATTTATTTAAAAAGTTGCATATATTGCAGACTTCTTTGGAGAAATAAATGCGCTGAACCTCAGCTAGCAAGGAAATATGAATAATATTTAGCTACTCAGGATAAGGTTACTGATTTTCTTTGCAAATTGTAGCTTTGCCAACGCAAAGCTACGGTTGGCGACGTGTCAATGTTACCAGAACTAACAATGGTGCTCGTTGGAAGAAATGAAAAATGCACATTCGCAGATGATATAACTTGCCACTTGGCATCAGTGGTGCGTTCTATCAGCAAATATTTTTATGATTTGGAAAATCTCCAAGTAAACGCCCGGACGCTAAGACCCTTTTTCAGTGGATGAAGAAGTTTCCAGGTACTGAAATCGAAGTCAAACCACAATTCCTAAGAATGCGCGAAAACAGTGAATTAAAAATAGTTTTTCAAAGCACACAACTGATAGCACTTTGGGCAAAGATAGGTAGTGAGTATCCATTGATATGGGAAAGAGCATTGAGAATATTGATCCAATTCGCAACAACTTATAGATGTGAACGGGGATTTTCGACAATGGTAGCAGTGAAAACAAAAGCGGGAAATCGGATGAAGTTGGAGGACGATATACGAGGTGCATTAGCCAAAACTGCACGAAATATACCAGAAATTGTCAGCGCTAAGCAATATCAGCCGTCTCATTGATGTATATCGCCACTTCATTGCATACAATGTTGCGTTAAAATAAGTTTTCTTTCATTTATTGATCGAGAATCATTCCAAATAGCTATCAGTTCCCGTAATTAAAAGCAAAAGCGCGATAGTTATTCATCAGTTAGCGTTTGAAAAGAAAGTTGGGGAGTTCGATTATAGTAAACCCGAATTATGAGTAATAGCCTCAAAAAAGTTTAGAAACGCTGGTGTACAGCACTGTGTGGAAAAGATAAGTGTGGTATTGCTTTCAACAGCGTCATCAAACAGCACCAGGACATGAGTAGGCATACTTTTGGCGCGGTACTTAATGAAAGAAAATTGTCTTTTCTTCGTACTACACTCAGCTGAGCGGACTGACGTTACATCTTGATTCGAGCTACTTATTTATGTTCAGTGCATAAAAGGCGGCGGCTTCGAAGTGCTTATTCTCAGAATCACTGAGCACCATTATACGACTTATGATATGCATTAGACGAAACCGCACCAAATGTGCCAGAAACAGTTTATACATCACTTGATTTAATAGAAAATTGCTCAAAATGGGGGATTATTCTTATTTGCATGATATATGGTATCCGTTTTCCGTACTTTAAAGCAAAAAGTGCAATGGTAATTGGCTCTTAAAGTTTGGACAGCAACTAAATAAAATAATAATGTGTCAGCTGCACGCCGTAACGGCGCTTCGCTGCCGCGCGATCACCACCAGTCGCGCGTGGGCTGCGTATACCGTGAGTACGCCCACCCCTACGCGGATTCGAACCGGTGACCTTATGGTTGCAAACGAGACGCGCATACCACTCGGCCACCGGCCTTGGAGAGCAACTATTTATAGTGAGTCCTTTTGTGAGCAACAGCCTCAAAAAGGTTGGGGAACCACTGCTCTAGAGTTTATTCAGGGTTGACTGTACTGCTCCAACATCAATAAACACAATGACAATATCGTCCACATAGGCAAGATCAAGTAGCCTTTCACCAGGCAATATCTGAATGATTACGTCGTGAGGTTGAAAAAGGGAACACTCTATGGTGGAGTCCACGATGAAGTTGAACAAAATGCGGAAATTGGACAACCTTGACGAGTCACTTGTTGTCAGAAAGACATCGGATAAATCACCATAGACAATGACCCGGTCCGTGGCATCGAAGTCCAGGGTAGGCAGAATGTCCACATATTTCACGGGAACACACACACACACACAAGTATCTTGAACAAAATGGATCAATCGACTGAACCGAACGCACTGTTGACGTGGTGGTATACAGCTAGTGTCGATCTGCGGTACGTGTGGTACTGTTCTAGCGCCCGCCACAAAGTGAATTTGAGGATCATACAGCCACGTTCTGGGCGAAAACCTGCTTGTTCTTCCTTAACCCGGGATTCCCGTCCCGCAGTGAGGTGATGAACGAGAATTGAGAATAGTAACTTTGGCATCATGGACATGAGGCTAACAACCATGTGGTTAGCACAGTCGGTGCGATTAACGGTCAGCTGAGATGGACGTCACCGCAGCAGTGCATATAAGCTGAAAGAGATAGCGATAATTGCCTCCGCCATTCCTCTACGTCTGATGAGGCCTCCAACCATTAGGGTGGATAATCCCGGGGCCCCCATCCACGAAGACTGCACTTACCAGCATGGCCAAATCTCTCAGTCAATTTCGTCGTGCATTTATGTCATTTTATCGAATGGCACTTTGCGGTTTCGCCCAACCTGGTGCAGTGACAGCATATAATGACCGTCAAGAAATCTGATCAAGGCGTATACGGAGGACATGATCAGACCAACAAGCGGTTAAGATTCAGCAAGCACTCGAATAAGGCACCAGAAAGCTTCTTGTAAAAAGCAAACCGCAGAGCACAGCATTCGTCACTCAGTGTTCCCACCAAAGGTCGGCAATACACCGCAAACACCAGTGGTCAAACACGACCAAGCGTTTAATGCCTTCATTACAAACTGGTTTGATCTCTTATCCATACAGTAACCCGGGCCTAATCCAAACATTATACACCCTACCTTTCACTGACAGGCTGATATTCAGCCGTCTCCACTGATGGTTGAGTCTCTGGAAAGTCACACGGGTGTTGCTCATACACAAAGTAAAGTACTCAGCGATGTGACCACCAGCTACCAAGGTAAGTGAACCGATGCACCACTTCCAGTGGCTGTACGCTGATAGTTAAAACAATCGTGTATCGGCCCAGTCCTGCAACAGTAGTTTGCACTATGAAGGTGCAACGAACGTACCGAAGCGTGCAGCGCTACGCACAAGTCTGTGCAGGGGTGTTCGCATAGTCACTGGGGTCAGACCCAAGAAGAGCTATGTCGTCCGCATACTCCAGTCCGTAGCCTGGCAGAACTTCCACTCCGGTAGAGCCTGAAAGAACCGATTCATTTATGATCACTTTAATCGCAAAATTAAAGAGGAAAGGAGATACAGTACCGTGACTAACCCTGTGTTTTGGGAAAAACTCAGAGGACAGTTTCCCGTAGAGGCTTACAGGTGCTCGGAAGTCACGGCAGAGGGACTACAGATAGGGAAAGAAGTGAACCGGCATGTCCTTCATGGATAGGCAGCACCAGAAGTTGGTGTGCACAACAGAGTCGAAGACAGCTTTCAAGTCAAGGAAACCCACTATAGTCGGTCGTCTGTAAATGTGTCTCTACTCTAACACTTGAAGATAAATAACCATGTGGTCGATGCGACCACAACCAAGGCGAAAGCCAGTCTGGATTTCATTGCTTCGGCGAATAACAGGACTTGTACGCAGTGGAAGAATGATCCCGGTTACAATGCTACTTATCTCTGGTCCCCGAAAACATGTTTAACCAGCTGAGCAAACGAAATGGGTTCCGTAAATGGAATACGTTTGGAATTAGGATTTCAAACGAGTTGTGTGAAAAAAGAATCCCAAGCTGGATCTCAGAAAACAGTGTCGCATAACGGTACCGAGACATTCCGAGTGTGTCGCCCAGACGTCTATCCGGCGATGGTTTTGGAAAGTGTTGCTTCATAACCTGAGGAAAGACAATGCGATGAGACGCCAATACTTCTAAGTAAATGAAGAGAATCGACATTATTATTATATGTACATATAAATGTTAATGACAGTTGGTTCAGGGCAAAGTCAACATTGGAAGTCAAAAAGCGTTAAGGGGTACACGTACGCCTAAGAAATTTCAAACATCCCATAGGAAGCAATACCCTGGATTGCGCATGCAAATATTGCATATATACAAACGGAAAATGTAACATGTTGACAAATGCGCAAAATGAACTGGACGCGTGACTGTTGTTCAGTGAAAGCAAGAGGCGACACTATGTGTTTATTTCCTTGTCCTTCTTCTTGTGATGTTTGCGTCGCTTCTTCTTTTTGCGTTCACCCTTAACGTGATGAAGATCAGTCGAAGAATCGGAAGACGCGTGATCCCGGGACCTTTCATGTTTTCTACAAGAGGAAGTTCACAAGCAGAGGTGTGAATCACTTCTTTTTCCGTTTTTCCCGATTAGATTTTTTCTGTTCTTTTTTCTTCTCAAGTTTAGCAGCTAAAACAGTAGAGGAGAAGAAGGTGAGTTCGACTGCATGCAGCCAGTAGACCTACAACAAATTCCCATGTGTCGACGACGGGTTGGAGAATGTAGAAAACAATCGTCCTGTGCAGTAGTAGGATGAGTTGGAATCAAGGAGGAAATAGAAGGCTTAAGAGATACACAGGGCAGAAACGCAAACAGGTGATTAATTTAAGAGGTAAAGTGGTGGGCAGTCCAAATGTCGGGCTTATAAGAATAGAAATTGGTCAAAAACTGACAGCATCAAATTCAACATGAGAAATTAGGGTAAGCGTTTTGATGGTGCAAAGCATAGGGTAATAGTAAGACGATAGAAAAAACAACACTACCAAGGAGAAAACAATGTGGATGAAAACGTAGGAGCAAGCAGTTCGAGTTATTTGTAAAACAATTAAACGAATGAGAACCACGATTAACTATGATCTATGCACCAAGATATGACGGATCTAGTGATTTAGACTTTTACTGACAAGAGAATAATGATAATAGTGATGGAAAAAGTATGGAAAAAAGTAAAAGTTTCGGCGGGGTGGTTAAGAGTCAGTTAAGTTCAGTTAAACAAATATGACTCGGGCAACGAAGTGCGGCAGAACCAGTTGCTATGACACGCGTCTCCAATGTAACAATAAGTATCCGTAGCACAAAACAGGGTTGAAGTAAGGGACCACAGCCACGTAAGTGAGGCGGTGATATCCGGTTGGGTAACACACCAGTCTCGAGCACCTGATAAAGGAGGATGACATGTGCCAAATGCACAAACAACCTATCGATGACATTGTCGATGCGCCTTTGCCAGCTTTACTAGGCCGGTGCAGGATACTTGAGTAAAGTGTTGAGAATTGCTTGGAAGATCTGACTGATTCAGACGTGACTAGTGCGACAAAGTGCGAGTGATACAGCTGTCATGATCTAAGACGCTACGATAACAATGATAACAATGAGGAAGGAGAGAAGACAAAGTAAAAAGGGCAAACACGAAAAGAGAAAAGTAGAAAGATGCAACCAGTGTGGTCGGCAATCTTAAGTAGTCTGTTGGAAGAAAATTGACCACAGACGGAGATTGTCTTCGATACTGGGGAATTTGGTGGAGAGGGCGTTGATATTCCATTCGGACTTCGGAACTATCCGTCGTCACCTATTAAACTGGCTGGACGCAAGGCACTAGACAGCCCTACTCTTTCTACTCTACTCACGCAGTTGTTAGTTCTGTTTGATAAGCGTCGGCGGATGGATGCGAAGTCGGAATGTACTATTAACACAACCTTCACCGAATCCCAAGTATCAAAGACAATTTTCATAAGTGACCAATTGCTTTGCAACAGACCACTTAAGATTGCTCGCCCATACCGATAACTGCCTTCTGACTAGCATTTTCGTTTCCTATTTGACAGTGGTTGAAACCCACGGTGTACCCAAGATTCTAGTGACCTTTGACTGCTGCAACCTTTTACCAATGAACTGTAAGTCTCTGTATGTAGCTTACACATGATCGGTACAAAGTGCCACCCAACTTTAAGCTAATTCACTTCGTCTGAAGAAGCTTTTGGGTCAAAAGCGAAAAGTTGTGCATTTGACTAATATATTAACCGGCCATCTACTAAGCTCTCTGAAATGACGACTTCCCTATAGGTTCCAAAATATCGAAGCTGGCCGCATGACTGAGTTGCGCCAAGCTTAGAGAAAAGCAAAAACGATGCTTCTAACAAACAATTGCTTTCGATTAATTAGTTTCAGGCTCATACGTTAATTAATTAATTAATAGGTTAGATTGAGGTGATGGATGGGTATTCTTCAAGAGAGTGAGTTGCGTTGCCGCGAGTTACCGTGTTTTGGTACCGACCATACCAATGTTTGCAGACCAGACAAACATGGCACCATCATGAAGTCAGTGGGGCTCATGAATTCGCCCATTGGTTTGGATGCTAAGTCTTCTGAGTAACGATTCCAAATATTTTGGTTCCCCTTGAAATGACGCTTTTTCCAACTCACAGTCTAGGTCAATATTTTTTCGTTTTACGGTGACGTGAATCAAAGAATGTGGATTCACCAAGATTCGGTGTAGGAAACAGCGCTTAAAACTATTATGTGATCAGCAGAATTGGTAGTTAAAAGACAGTTCAATAAGTCTGATGGCAAGTCGAGGTACGTCCTCACACGCACGGAAAAGAGACAGAAGCGTCTGCTGGAGTACCATGCGCCGGAGTTCAATGGACCCAGACGCATCGACCAAGGTCGCAAAATAGGAACAACGCGATTATTGACACCAATACTGCCGCTGCTGTATCTATCGCCACTAGTAGTGTTGCGAGAGGAATAGACAGTAAACGATTTCTCCAGAGGGAGTAGTTAAGAACGAAACATAATGGAGTGCCTGAAAGAGTGCAACTGACTCGGCGATTGCACCCTAACCCGATAAAATGTTCTCCCATTGGTGCGGATAATCCGAAAACGCCGATTCAAAGCAATGAACATCAACCCAGTTTACCCAGTCGGTTTTGCCATTTTACCGGGGTTCCAATTAACTAGGTACAGTACTGATAAACAACGCATAGGCGAAACGTTCTTAAAAGCCCCGTGAGCTACACCACTTCATCGATACGACCCCCATATGCAATAAGACCGTCTAGATAAGTTCATGGTTTCACTAGTTGGACCGGTTGTTCAGAGACAATGAGATGCGTCTGACAGTTACTGTATATTGCAGTTTAAAGGTGTGGATTAGATAACAAAATGTACAGCACCATGAGCATCTGCAAAGAAGTCACGTCCGAAGAGAGCGGTGCTGTCGGAGTAATACAATTTTGTTGACCGATTACCCAACGGAACCTCGAATGCAGAAGTGGAAGATGGCGAAAGTGAGCAATTCGTGATTATTTTAAATACAAATAGGAGGAAAACAGAGCAAGCGGAGTGACCCTTCACCCACATAACTTGTCGTGGAGAAATGAAGTAGCAGCTTTCCGTGAACAAGTACACGGACCAGGGGTATGGTGAATTGTGAACGAAAAGAACCTTCTCCAGTATACCATCAAACGTTGCTATAAGTCAGTACAATGAAAGTAATCGAATGTGTTTCACAAGCCAAGAAGGATTACCCCCACTAGTCCGCTTGTACGTGTGTGATAAAGAAACTAGTGAGACGAAAAATGTAATCGACGTATAGTGCAAAAGCAAAAAGTGACCGGACTTAATGGATTTATGCGAAAAACATTGAGTCACCGCAGCACAATGCATGTGAGCACTTTAGAAACAGTGGAGATAGGATTGACTACGGCGATTCTTGCAATATGTTCAAAGACCCTTTTTCAATATGAATAAAAGTCAGTTCCCTTCCTCATTGCGTCCAGTGATGTACAACGGCGTAGACCCGTAACTACCAGTTTTTCAGTGATAAAAGAGATTCATCGTGGACAGCTGGTATAGTTAGCTTCAGAATTGACAAATGGGACAGGGTGTGAATCTAATGGGAAATGTAGCTGCAAATGCTGACGGAATGAGTTTAGAAACTTTAGTTCAACAACTCTAAACCCGAAGAATATGCCAACCCGATTCAAATGAGCAGACCGTCTCTTCTCAGCTACCACCTCAATCATGGGAGAGGTCCTCTGAGTTTGTGCTGGAAGCAACATCATCATTGTCAAAAGCAGTACATCAACCAATCGGACTGATGGTTCGCTAAGGAATGAAGAAGAAAAGAAGCCGGACCTAGTGTAATGCCTTAATACACTAAGCTAACATTCAGGGTCAAGGCGCGCAACAACATACATCACAAACAAATGGCTATCGTGTAAAGATAAGGCGGAGTCAGTGATACAGCTTCTTTGCGAATTCCATTGCCCCGCGTCATACTCTTGTGGTGGAAACGAGGGATCAGCTACTTGGTAGGTCCAAAAATATCGACCATCCGCACTTTCAAGAGTCAGCTTTATCCGCATGAGCTTCCGGCTGATCACAAGTGCAAACAACAACGGGAAACATTACCAAACGGAGTAACTGAACGCAACCCAACTAAAGTTACTAGCACATCTAAAGCCATCACTTATTCGAACACCTCACGTTCCAACGCGACGTGACTGTACATTAACATGGTGCGATGATTTGCGTACTTCCGTGACTGAGCAACGCTAGGTGGGACTTTCCAAGTGTCTTCACAGCTTCTCATACCAGACAGATAAACAGTTAGAGTTTAGACTAACTCAGTCTCACAATCCGATCATATTGAAGGTCAAGGAGAGGTTGACAGACCTCTTACATAAAAATTAGTCATAGGAGACAACAGCACAATTACCATTTATCCATACTGAAATCCCCTAATACCTGATTTTGAACACCATCGGAAAATATGAAATAACAAGTGCATCTTGAGATCAAGTTGTACAATATGATTACTCTAAGCAGTCAGACTGTAAATCCGGAGCATCTCCACTTCACAAACGGCATTCAATTCGAAAAGTTCCATTAATCCCTCCAAACGATGGCGAACACAGCAAACAAACTCACGAATCCAGTCACACCTCACAAGTTCATTCACCATGCCCACTAACAAATATGGTTGGCAGTACGTGGTTTCGGATTTGCCTGTCATTGTGGCCAGCCACAGGATGCCTGCACCTAGAGAGGGACCATGGGTGGCTTGCGCTGCACCACCCATAGCTCCAACCACACACCCCATATCCAGTGTAAACCCGAAGGAATAAGACCGGGAGGCATGTGGATGGGAGCCACGTTTCATCAACGGAGCCGGCCCACACTCCTTCACAGGTAAACACAAGCACGCTGTATTTGGGAATCAAGCGCACACAAGGCGGTGTCTGGACCATAGTCCGATCCACACTGTGTGACTGGAACCACTTTTCGAGCGTAGATTAGTCACAATGACCGTGCACCCCGTCCCCTCCAGCAACGAACAATAGTCTCCTGGATCCAGTATGGACGAGGTAGTGGGTAATAGACAGATAGGTACCTTGTCAACATTC